GGCTACGCGCCGTAGCGGTCATCGTGCATTGCATTGCATCTTTACATTATACTTGACTGATAGTATTTGAAGTTGTTTTGCTGTTAGTTCGTAGTTAGGTGTTGGACTGTTAGTTTTAGCTTTGCTTTGTGGCATTTCGTGGATTTCTTATCTTCAGACATTTTATATGCTTATTACTCACTGAGTCGGTAGTACTCACCCCTACTCCCTGCACCTTGTGTGCAGATTCAGGTGCACCGGAGGCTTAGCTGAGCAGTCTTTGTTTCCCAGAGCTTATCAGAGTTGTTGAGGTAGTTGCTTGACGTTCGCAGGACCTGACTACTATTCCTATTTCAGTTTTATTTATATAAACATTTCCAGACTTGAGTATTTTCATTCAGTTATTGTTATTCAGATTGTTTTAGAGGCTCTAGACTAGTGACCCCAGGTCTTTGGGAGCGTTTTTATCAGACTTCTTGTTTTTCTCAGTATTATTCTATTATAAATATTGGATTATTATTCTAAAACCATTATAATCTCTTTAGATTGTCGGTTTGAGGTTTACGGTTAATTTGGGAACGATTGTGGTCTGGCTTGCCTAGCAATATTGTTGGGCGCCATCACGATCGGGTTTGGGGTCGTGACAGACGACAGTCGAAGCAACGTCCTAACGGCTAAGGCCATCGACATTAGCTCGACCTCGTTCGAACCACGACGGATGCTACTTCGACGACAGTCGAAGCAACCTCCTAACGGCGAAGGCCATCGACATTGGTTCGACCTCGTTCGAACCATGACGAATACTACTTCGACGATAGTCGAAGCAACATCCTAACGGCTAAAGGCCATCGACATCAGTTCGATCTCGTTCGAACCACGACATCTTCTGAAAGGCAATATCCTCGAAGATTAAGTGTAAAACAAACAACAAAAAAGGAGAAACAACAAACAGACGAAGCGACAAAAACAAAAGTTTATATTACAACAAAAATTATTTACATTCGTCCACATGGACAGATTTTGGTACACCCCACAGCCAAAGAAGATGCGGAAGCAAAAATATACAAGCTTAAACTAACTACCACCCCCTGTGGGATAAGCGTCCTCATACCACGAGTCTGAGTCAAGGCGATCGACATCCTCGGAAGCAACATCCTCCCCATCGGGAGAGTCGGGGTAATACCACACGATTCACGAGCTGTGCGTGATTCATTTCGCACCACCTGACCTCTGCCTCCGTCGCTCAACCCTCTGCGTGTAAAGCTCTGTATATATCAAGTCGTGCCTCTGCATAGACCCACATCTCATGGGCACTATGATGCGGGCCCCGGCCAGATGGGGGACGAGACAAGGAGGGCCGAGAATGGCATTCCGCTTCCTCATTCCTCGGAGGGGCGACTTGCCTCTGCAACGCGGTCAATTTGTCGGCATTAGCACTCAGCTCGCCCTTAAGTCTGTCGATTTCCGCCATTCTAACACCAAGCTCGGCGATCCGACTAGCTACCCTCTGCTGCAAGTCGGCATTCTCCGCAGCTACCCCTCGATTCAATTCAAGTTCATCATCCTTCGCCCTGAGGAGAGCCTCCACCTCACTATTACGAGCAACGGCCCTCACTAGCTCCTTATCCGTCTCCTCCAGTTCCGCCCCCTACGTTCCAATTGGGCCTCCCTCTCCTTAAGCCCCTCGCGGAACACTTGGAACTCGGGGTCCTGTCGGTAGAGATCAGCCACTGCTTGATGCTTAGCACGACATTTTTGATACTTCCTCAACATCTTTTTATAGAGGTCCGTCCTCTTCCGCTCATGACGGTCCCTCTCCACCTCCAGGACGAGGGTCTGGGAAGAAAAAAACAAGAGTAAGCATATTTCCATACCCATCCTACAATAAGCAAAGAGAAAAGTAGTAAGGTGATGAAACCTACCTGTAAAGCCATGCCGGCAACCTTCCGAGACAACTCCATATCGTTCATCGCCCTGAGCATCCCACTCTCGGGGGCGGCGCACAACAGGGTAAGCTACGATGCGACCTGCTCGCTATTCAGCAGCAAATTGCAATCCCTAGGGATTGTTATATGACGGTCAGATCCATCCGTCGCCGCCTCCACACAGGTGTGACAACCCAAAAACTCGTTTACGTCCTCAGGGGCAACATCGGAACCCGACTCATTGGCTTCCACGTCAGGCACACCGACGTTAGTCGACGAACCCCCCTCAGCGGGGCGCACCGAACTAACCCCTGGGCTGACTCTTTCCTCACGTGTCGGCCTCCCCGATCGGATAGCATCGGCCATAAACATGGGCGTCGGGGCCGCCCGAGATGTTCCACCATCGTCGGCTTCAGTAGCCACCCTTTTTCCCATCTTTAGTCTTCTCCTTTTTCTTTCGGCGGCTCCTCACCATGAGAAGATTCGTCGGCGGGTTGTGGGGCCGATGTCGACAAAGTCGGCTCCCCTATAGCCACAGCCGTGGGCGTAGCTCCCTGATGGGGTGTAACAGAACGACCCTCCCGAACAGACTCGCATAGAATATCTCGAGCATCTGCGGCGGTAGTAGGACGCATGGAAGTAGGGATTGTCGCCTTCTTCCTAGAAGCACCTCGACCTATGACCACAAAATCACGGTTAGGTAAGGTCGTCTAACCGACAAAGCAAAATCGGAAGTTTACCTGAAGAAACTTGAGGGCCGTAACGTTGCATGAATGCAGGCCAAGTTCGGGTTTCCTCCGCGTGAGGAAGCAGGCCGGCGACCCAGCTCCTTAGACCGGCAACGGGCTGGGGCGGACGGGCCATAGCTGTAATATAAAAGTTAGAACTGCGATAACAACATGCAACAGAGAACTTGATGAACTACAGCACCTACATGTTTTGTTCCATCTTTCTGGAAATCCGGTAGGGTTGGAGACCATATGCTCGGTCCTGACAAAGAAATATTTGTGCCAGAATTTACGGCTCGGCCGGTCGTCGGTTCCAACCACCAACCCCTTTGTACCACGAATCCTTAAGTGCACCATGGTCCCTCTAAGGAAACCGGCTGTAAATAAGTGCAAGAGATGATGAACGGAGATGTCACATCCGGCTAACGCTGCATATTTAGTCAGTAGCAGAAGCACCTTAAGCGTGTACGGCGTGAGCTGAGCCGGGCAGATGTGATAGAATCTGCAGAATTCCTCCGCCAAAGGAAAAAGGGGAAGACCGTAGCCTATCAAGAAGGGGTACTCGTAGAAGGCACAATAGCCCGGCCTGTGAACGTCAACGTGATCCTCCCCCGCCGGGATCATTCTACATAAGCTGGAATGCCGTATTTTGCGCGGAGGTCGTCCAAGTGGTTCTGTCCCGTCTCAGAACGCACCGGAACCGGAATTGCGGAATCCTTGTTGAAATCACATCGAGGCGAAGAGTGCCTCGGCAACAAAGCTTCTACCGTCAGAGGACTGACATCCTCTTCCACTTCCACCTCCCCACCATCGGAGGAGGGCGGCGCATTCGACGGAGCTACCTCAGGAACCCTTTCTTTGGTACGGCGAGATTTGGGCATATTTTCGTTCGAAAAAGATCACGCGAAAAGAAATGAGGAAGAAGAAAAATCCCTGGACAAGAACGAAATGTGCAGGAACGCGAAAATCAATAGAGGAGGGCTGGGAAAGTTCTCAGGAATGACCAAAGTTCTTCAACGAAATTAAACCCATCCCCTATTTATAAGGTTGGGTGGCGCCAGAATTGAGGCGTCAGATTTCAAATCGGCGCGGGAAACCAAGTGCCAAAGCGTCAGTTCTCTTCCGCCTCGAGAATACGCATAATGATGACACATGCGGACGCTGACGTCACCCAAGGTAGAGTGTTTTACTTCAACGTTCTGACAGGAATGATTGCCGTCTCCCACCAGTCACGTCGTATCAAGTCAACAAGTCAAACTCTCCCTGACGAAAACGTTGATTCCGCCCATCGAGGACGCATCTCGTTGCCACCCCGACGAGCGGAGGGACTAACTGTATGGGATCGAATTTGACCCATCACGTCCTACCGTCAACATGACCAACCACTAAATGTTTACGATACGATACGAAGGAACGACCCAGGGGTAAGAGAAGGAACGACCTCGACCTGTCATCGGCTCCGCCATAGAGTACACTGATTTTTTCATTCTCATGACTCGGCTTAGATCCCCCATTATATAAAGGGGTTCCGGGTCTTGTAATAGGGAGATAACTGGTAATAGAAAAACTGATTCTCTCTCCGATCTTTATCTCTGTATCATTCTCTCTCTCTCTTTTATCATTATTATTGTTCCGATTATTGAAACAATCTTAGGGTTTATTATCTTCGACTACGATTTACCCCTTCATCTCTTTGATTGATTTGCTTAAAAAGAGTTTAACATCTTTTGAGTCAAACAATAACAGAATTGAAACAAATGATAAATATAGGCAATATAAAATCGTTGAAATTAAACTTTGTTTTCCATGTAGAGATAGAGAAAGATATAAAAACCCTTAACAATCTTAAAAGACAACTTTTTAGTACTAAAAAAAATTAGAGCAGAATGAATATAAATTGTTCATGTGGTCAATTTCTACTTGATTTGGAATTGACGCATAGTTGATAAAATTTAGTTCAGCCCTACTCTGATCATCTACAACAGATCAAAAGATGCCAATTTAGACATATACATAGCAAATCGATGGGACAGAACAGTACCAGTTCCTTTCTGGCCCTTCATCCTCTATCACATACACTTCTGTAAATATACATTAACAAGAAAAACATGATTTACAAACACCTTCCAGAGATCTTGAATCAATTACTTGGCAGACACAATGTTTAAAGGGATGACTAAATATCCGATGTCAAATTGAAGTTTCTCATCGATTTGAATGCTCTTATATACACTGTTAACTCCAAAAGATCTTATTGGCTACTTCCTCATACAGTGATGATCACCTTTCTCATTCAAAACTTGACTTTGTGGCCCTCATAACCCTAAACTGACTAATGGTTTCGCTCAAGACCTATGAAATCTTAATCTGGTTTGCGATTGTCACTAGATGCTTTTGGCCCCTATGGCAGAGCCAAAATTTTCTTCCACGCCCCATTTGCACGTCCAGATGTCGAAGGCAAAAAGTTCATGATAACTGACTTGCCAACAGCTTGTTCTCAAGAATCACATCTTGGAAGAGGCGCTGACTGATAAGTATAATGGGCAAAGCTCATCCTGTTAGAGGAGAAAAAACTGAATAAACTATACAAGCTAATGTACGCCTAGCATCTGAGTCAAATTGACATATCATAACCTACCTTTCGTTCACCTCATAGTACGAAGCCACTTTGACAACTAGAGCAATCATACTCTAAGAATTCGAGTCAACTTGTAGACCTGCAGGAGTAAAAGCAAGTAAAAAAACATTTGTACATCATGCCCACCGGTAAACAGAGGATGTAAGAGAGCCTGTTTTAGCAAATATATACTATTGACAAGCGCTTTACAAAAAGAAAACTCCCTTTTACAAAACTAGTATCTCTTGTAATACCTTTTAATAACATCGAGATACTTCATAAAAATGTTGCAAGTTTACAGAATCCTACACAATCAGAAGCCTAAATAGGGGGGAAAATTCAAACCTGAGCACTTCTACTTGGTAGAGGCACTTCCAAGCAAAATCTCATTCCATCAGCTCTGAAATGGAAAAATTAAGACATGCCTAATATAAAAGCTGATATGGATATCATGTAGAAAATTCAGAATTTCTTCCCAATATAATTAGAGAATGCAAGTAAGCTACTAGATATTTGTCATGTAGAAACATGGAAACTTCATCTTCCCAGTAGATGTAAAACGTAAATCAAGCGACTAGTTACCTTCTACTAATGGTTCTTTGAACAATATGATCATGTCCAATCAGTCCTCTACCACCATACTTCTTTTCATCTGTATTTAATGTGACCTAAAACAATTTAAGGAACAATAGGGTAAGAAATACCAACACATTATAGTCAGAGAAGTTACAAAATTCATAGATCATGTACGCCAATGAAGATGTCAGCTGTGTTCCTCAATAGATGTACTATTCTCTGAAATTTCAAATCTGTAACTGATGGAAAGATTAAAGTGAGTTGTTTAATTGGAGGAAGGTGTTCGTGAGAGCCCACCACTTCTTTTTTGCTTTTATTTTTCCCAAGTATGAAAGAATTAGAAATGTTTTAAGAGTCACTGTTAAGAATGTTAGCGTTAGGGAACTGTAAATATGACAACAATTTGTTCCTTGTAAATAGAGAAAGGTTTTTCCCACTACTTAAGGTTAAAGTCTTGGCATGAAACGGGCGGCACAGCTGAAGCTGAGCCTCCGTGCCATTAGAGAAATACTGAGATGAGACGATCTTCGCCATGCGCACAGACGTGCCAAGTGAACTGGGATAAGAATAGGCTAGCTTTTGTTCAGTAGGACTGAGTGTCAGACAAGTTATTTGTGTACCACTGTCGGTATGGTCGCTATGGGGGAATTAACCCATGACAGTTAATATCAGAGCAAGGAAAGAGCAAAGTAATGCCGAGGTGATACCAAGCACAGCTGGTGTCACTGCTTGGGTTTGAGCTTACTTGTTCGAGCATAGATGGATTATCAGTTTTGAGATAGTATTAGAGCATAGTGGCAGTTCACATTTTGCTAGGGCCATAGCCTTTATATCAGGTCAAGGAACATGAGATCAAGGGAGAGAATAACTACTTAATATATACATGGTAAGCAGGTATTCTCTACTCTAACTACACCAGTAAACATTCGAAATACTACTAGATACAGATATTCACAAGCCTGGGCAAAATTGAAATAGAACTAGTCACATGTGTAAAAATACAGTCTGCCACATCGGGAACAATTCTGTAAAAAGTATCTACAAAAATCATAGGTGTAAGACAATTGTCTTCATGCATTTCTCATTTTTTTCTCTACTATCTTACATCATAATACTGGGTTGTTGTATCTTACATCATAATACATAGTATATAAATTCAATTTGGTTCTAACAGTTACTTTAATCAATGGGGATAGAGAAACAGCTACACAGATTTGTTCTGGATAGAGAAACAGCACAGATCTGTTCAACTTGCAGAACCCTTTTTTCATATTTGTATTTATCTTAATGTGGAAGTGAGAGATGAAAATTGGAAAAAATGCTCATATCCTCACTCAAGCTAGTGCTTATTCTGATTTACTATGGAGGCTGGCCTAGAAGTAGGGACAGAAACAAACAGCTACATAAATCCTTTTCAACTAGCAAACCCGCTCCATATTGATGGGGGATTGAGAGAGATGAAGATGGGAGAAAATGTATATCTCATACAAGCTAGTGCTTGTTTTAATTTACCATGAAGGTCGGCTTAGATACTTCTCATCTCTGTAAGAACAAAGTGAAAGATGCACAAACATTTACCTCATTATTTATATATAAATGGCGGGGTGACCATATGACAGTAAATACCTATGAGATACCTTTATGCCCGACTGAAATAAGCTCTCATAAACTTGGCCACAAGGAACAGCAAATGCGGAACAAAAACTTCAAAATCTTGATTGAGGCAGAAAATAAAAAAAAGGATAAACGACACTTACTTGATACTCTCCAGCTTCTTCCACACCTATAGTGTATCTTTCATATGCATTGACAGGATGAAAGTTGAACACAAAGAGATTGGGGCCTCTCAAGTAAGAAATCACCTGTTCCAAAGACAATTTTACTCTTTATCTTCGAAAAAGATACTGACGAATGATAACAGTAAGCAGGAGGGTTGATTTAGAGAGAACACAAATGAAATTGGGAACTCATATACTCTGCCAGTTTGTTGAAAAAACTACGGAAGAAGATGCTACGAAGCATGAAAACTTGGGTTTGCAACCCTAAGAGTTCATTTCAAGCAAATGCACCAACGTGCCAACTGATCCATCACTACTATGACATCAAATGTTACTACTGGCATCGACCAAATGTTCGTCATACAACTCATTCGTTCCAGCAACAGGCAATTATTGTGATCCTTTTTTCTCTTGGGGGGCCACAGCCCACAGATAGAGCTATAATATGAAAATCCATCCCTAGTCAGGACCCACCAATAAAGCGCCATGTAACAGCAGCATCATTTTATAATACTCATCAATCAGGCACAACCGATAAAAAAAATCTCGTCAATCAGGCACACCAGAAAAACCAGATAGAGAAAAAATTCATAATGGAAAAATATCAAATGAAAGAGAAATTCTTTGTACCATGGTAGTATCATTGACATGGTGAATGTTGGCAAGACCTCGCAACAAAATTCTCCCATTTTCATCCAAGTCCATCATATCCTGAAAAATGGAAGGAGTGAGAATTCTCTTCTGTCTTTTTTCCTCTGGTTGCAGAACAACTATTATAATTCACAGTGGAATAAACCTCCAGTTCCAAGTTATCTTATCAACCAACTAATTAAGATTATGGAGAGGTGTTATTTTCCACTTCGTAATCACGGTATGCAAAACAGCACAAGTGAGCCAAGTCTCATTCAAGTATAACAGACAATAATAAAGAAGGGAGTAGCCCTAGAACCTCATTTATTATTGCACAATTACGAGGACTGCCTTCATTGCCCATACTGTATATCTTTTCTATACAGGAAGGTTGCTAACGTGTTTATTAACCTAGAGAAGGCATATGACAAGGTCCCTAGAGACGTCCTTTGAAGGTGTCTGGAGGTGAAAGGTGTGTCCGTGGCTTACATTAGGGCGATAAAGGATATGTATGATGGAGCTATGACTCGGGTTAGGACTGTGGGAGATGACTCAGAGCCTTTTCCGGTGGTTATGGGGTTACACCAAGGATCTGCGCTCAGCCCGTTCTTATTTGCTCTGGCGATGGACGCACTGACACATCATATCCAAGGAGAGGTGCCATAGTGTATGTTGTTCGATGATGATATAGTTCCAATTGATGAGACGCGAGGCGGCGTTAACGGGAGACTGGAGGTATGGAGGCAGGCCCTGGAGTCTAAAGGTTTCAAGTTGAGTAGGACTAAGACGGAATATGTGGAATGTAAGTTCAGCGACGTGACGGGTGAAGCGGATGTGGAAGTCAGGCTTGACTCACAGGTTATCCTCAATAGAGAAAGTTTTAAGTACTTAGGGTCAATAATCCAGGGAGATGGGGAGATCGACGGGGATGTTACGCACCGTATTGGGGTGGGGTGGATGAAACGGAGGTTAGCGTCTGGAGTCCTGTGTGACAAGAATGTGCCACCGAAACTCAAAGGTAAGTTCTATAGAGCGGTGGTTACACCGTCCATGTTGGATGGAGCTGAGTGTTGGCCAGTCAAGAATTCACATCCAGAAGATGAAAGCAACAGAAATGAGGATGTTGAGATGGATGTGTGGGCACACTAGGATGGATAAGATTCGGAATGAAGATATTAGGGAGAGGGTGGGCGTGGCTCCCGTGGATGACAAGATGCGGGAAGCGCGGCTTAGATGGTTCGGACACGTGCGGAGGAGAAGCCTAGATGCACCGGTTAGGAGGTGTGAGCGGTTGACTTTGGCAGGTACGAGAAGAGGCAGAGGGCGGCCTAAGAAGTATTGGGGCGAGGTGATCAAGCAGGACATGGTGCGGCTTCAGATTTCCGAAGACATGGCTCTTGATAGGAACATGTGGAGATCGAGCATTAGGGTGGTAGGCTAGGGGGTAGTCGAGAGTTCTTCCCTCTTTGTACCGGGTAGTCTGATAGAGTTTTGTTTAGGTTTGTTAGCGGTCTATGTTGTGTTCACATTGTTGTTTTGCATAGTTTTGTGTTATTGTCCTTTCACTTATTCGTGTTGTTATTTTCTTTCTTGCATCTTTTGTTGTTACATGCCTTTTCTCTTGTTTCTTTTCTGATATTATTGTCTCTTATGTTGAGCCGAGAGTCTCCCGGAAACAGCCTCTCTACCCTTTTCGGGGTAGGGGTAAGGTCTACATACACTCTACTCTCCCCAAACCCCACTAGTGGGATTTTACTGGGTATGTTGTTGTTGTTGTTGTTGAAGGTTGCTAATGAGTGGAAGCCGAACTATATTACTCCTTGATGGAAAACAAGGGGGAAAAGCACTATGTGGCATCCAACAAAATATCTCTTAAAGAGTACACGCAAAGGGAAGATAAATTTAGTGACAGTCATTTGCTAAAGCCCAACTACTAGAGTTGCCTTGCATTACTCTAGATCAGATAAATTTAGTGACAGTCATTACTCATATGGTCTATTTTTTCCACACAGAATATTGGAAAAAGTCTGTCAGAATTAGTAAAAACCAACAATGATGTATCAAAGCGGAACAAATTTACTCCTTGAGGGGGAAAAGGGAGAAAAAGCAACAAATAGAATACAACAGAATATCTAACAAAAAGTTGACCTCAATTGCAATATACGTTTAGTGACAGTCGTATAAGGGGAGAGAGGGGGGGGAGCACATTTTGCATAGTTAAAAGTTCAGCAGTTACCTTATCAAATGAGAACAATTGATTATTTACGTCATTTTCCAACAGATCCCACTGACGGTTAGCTAGTGAAAATGAGAAATTGTTGTTTGGCATGGGAAACTCAACCCTCTGTTGCAGGATACAAATGACATTTGTTACTAAATATACAGTATCATTTCTGCACCTGCATAAGTCACAAGTGCAGGAAATAAATATTCTCACCTTTGGGTGACCAAATTCATTGCCCATGAAGTTGAGGTATGCATGACCACCAATTGTAGATGTAATTAATCTGATCATCTATTTAATAAAAGAAAATCCAACTCATAATTAGACATGCTCAAATGCATGGAATATCACACAACCATAAGCAGGTAAGTAATCTAAACTTGTGCTGAAAGGAGGAAAAATAGCATAGTGTATACTTTAGATAAATCCATCCTCTTGTTCATTAAGGAGTTTATCCGAAGGACTACTCTGCTAACCAGAGAATCAAAAATATCAAATTCATAAGCTGATTATTTTTTCCAGAGGTTTAAAGACTAGTTTCTTCCAAGCACATTTAAGTTTTACATGAGTGCAATCCTTATCAACCACAAAATCAAGAAAAGACAAGAATTATACAGAGATTATTTTGACCTCAAGTAGGAGGTAAGCATGTAAGTTCATTAAAGATACTCATTTTGGCTGGATTACCAAAATAGAGTGAAAACAACATAATTAAGAGACGAGTGTAGGGTGGCTGATCATCATAAAAGATCTGATCACTAGAGGAGAACCAAGAAATGTCAAGTAATTAGCTTTGTCTAACAAGCAGCCTCTAGGTAGTACCAGATATTGACTTTCTACATGGACCGTAACCACAAATCAGGAAATTACCTTGTGCAACGAGCAGCCTCTAAGGAATGACTCTTGTGATATAGGAGATTTCTTCGAGGAGTTACCAATCAGTATTTCTGCAAATGAGCGACCTCCAGAAATGGACTAGAAGAGAAGGAGAATTACAACCAATAAGATAATTTTGATTATAGATTCAGAAATTTACAGTATGAAATAAAAGAAAGGAAATAAGAGATAAGTCATAAATTCTACATGATAAAAAGAGACAGATAGTAGCTACCTGGTTGTGATTTTCAGCATACAAAAGCATCTTATCAACATTTTGTCGGCCGCCCACTAATGTGCTAACAATCTAAATTAAGACAACCAAATTAAATACCACCAACTACCATGGCATTCAAAGCTTGAAAAGGAGAAAAATCTTGTTAACCAATAATGCAAGGTTCAACCTTACTCATGGACCATTCATGATCAGGAGTATTTTCAAGTAATGCAAGCCACATCTCCGAGGCAGAAAGATTCACAAAATAATCAAAGCCCAGTCCACCTTGAGAAGTTGGGTCACAAAGTCCCGGATACAGTGTTGCCTACATAACAGAAAGAGAACTTGTCACAAGACAGTACAGGTCTCAAACTAGCCATAAAGACAAAGGAGTAGACTTGGACAAGTAGAAAACTAAACAATGAATTCTCTTATAAAAAATTTAGAGTTCTCTTTTCAAGAGATATCTTCATTTTTAGATAAATTCTTTTCAGGAGATATCTTAAAACATCAAAGGTATACTCCACGCAACAAAATTCAATAACAAAGGATTTCTACCTCCTAGAAACCATCTGATTAAAGCAATGAACAATTTCAAGATAATTGAAAAGGAGCACTTACATCCTCGGCAATCGTGATCACATTTGGGTGAAGAGCATGCAATACTTCATTTGCTAATATGAGGTACAATAAGGCCTCCTTGTCAACATACTGGTTACAGTACCTGCAATGACAAAGCTTTATGATTGTCAAAGAAAGACTGCTCAAGAATGAAATATGCTCATAATCCATCCACCAATGCACATCCTAGTCACATATATTTTTTGGATTTGAGGTCCTTCTATAGCTTTCTTCTTTAATCCACATTACAGTCTCTAGCACTTCCTTATCAAAATAGAACGAGAAAATGCTTGTAAAGATTGTAAATATATGAACTCATATATATCTCACTAGTGAACACACAAAAACTATTAACATGAGACAACTGGCCTGCATAGGCAAGTCGACAACGTAAGTGACTGATAGGATGTAACTTGTGATTCTTACTCATCCATGTCACCAGTAAATGAAGCAAATCCATTGTGTGTATACAGCATGGATGAGAGTGAATGAAAATGGAATCCATCAACATGATACTCCTCCACCCACCTGAAAAAATGTCACAGTATAAGCAAAACGCCAAGAAAATAATTTATTGCGCAATCATGTCAAAAAGCATTTGGTTTTGCACTGACCAGGGAAAAAAAAGAGAGTTTTGTGAAAAATTGAGTTCGAGCATGAACGTAATAAAAAGAAGGATGGTGGTCTGTACTTATTGTACCTTGGGTACATTTATCAGGTCCAAAATACAACAAACCTTGACTTCTAACACTTCACCATACAAAGTGAGAAACCAAGATGAGCTTGTATTGTAATAAACTAATGCTATAAACTGAACGCTATTTCTTTTTCCATTTGAATAATGCCAACAGAATAGTACATGATGAATAATGCCCAAGGAATTATATCACTTGAACATGTTAGAATAAAACTAAATAATTAAACGTGTGTACTCTCTCTAACAGCTTAACATGGTCTTAAAGACACACTCATCCCTATTCTTGGTTTACCCCATCTTGAGCCACCACATGTTATACTGTCCAGTGTCCATGCTCTAGATGTCCAACGCTGAACGTATATGGGGAAGAGAGGGGGTGTTACAGATCCACATTTGTAGAGGATATGAGTTGTAGTCTTGTTATATGGCCTTAGGCATTTGTAGTCTTGTTATATGGCCTTAGGCATTCTCTTCACTTTGAGCCGAGGGTCTATCAAAAACAACCTCTCTACCTTCACACGGTAGGCGTAAGCATCTGTGTACACACTACCCTCCCCAGACCCTACACTGGATATGTTGTTGTTGTAGGCATTCTCTCTACGTCACGAGCTAACGCTTACAGTTGAATTAGAACCAAGACCATTTGCTTAACATAGTATCATGCAGAGGTTCTAGATTGAAGTCTTAACACCACTCATTTATTAAAAAAAAAAAGTGCCATAAAAGAAAAAAATTGGTCCACACGTGAGGGGAGTGTGATAAATTGAAAGTGTGTTCTCACTAGCAGCTTAAGCTTAAGCTTTTACTCCCTCTATTTCATTTTATATATGAGAAGTTAAAGTTAAAGATTACAACATAGAAAGGTGTCATTCTTTTTGGAACATACTAAAAAGGAAATAGTGTCATGCAAAATGAAATAGTGGAATAGATGAGATGCCCAAACTTCAACCAAACTGAATCGCCTTCATAGTACCACTTAGTTACCTATCACAACAAAAAAAAAGTACCACTTGGATAGTACCTCCACAAGAAAAACTAACACGTTGCTACCCTAAGAAAAACTTGATAAAGAAAAGGAAGAAATGTTGACACTGTGGCGCTGCCCTGAGATTGATTTGGTGCTCCCATGAGCCAATAACATATTGGGCACAATCGTGAGACAAACTGTGGACTCATGAGACAAGTTGATATAGAGTACATGTATGTTGCCACCTTGATCAGTTCAGTGGAAATCCATGGTTGTACTATTGCTGTGGATCTATGAGACTTGACTAAAAAGAGGTCATATATGCTATCAGCTTGACCAGAACACTAGCAATTCCACATGAAATTAATAAAGTGATGATGTGTCTCTAATTGAGGATGACAATGCTGACTTGGCGGCTGAGTTATCACTGACATGTTGATTGTCATGACACAATTCTTCAACCAAACCTTTTTAACCTCGCTCTTTTCTTTTCCTTTTTCCTTCACTAGTACTATACTCTTAGAAAATGTGCAAAACAATAATAAATGCATCAACTTCCCCCAAAAATTCAGATAGGACCAAAAGCTTATTTTACCTACTCTATTTTTTTTTTTTTTTGTCCTTTCTGCTTTGCGCCATATGTTCTCATCATTGTACAAAAATTTCCTGCAAAAGCTTTATAAAACTAACTTTACCCATCTTAACCTTACCAATTATAACAAAAGTTAACCCAATTTCGACTACTATTGATAAAAAAGAGCCCCACTCACAATTTCTTTAATCCTGGCCCAAATTAAACATTTGATATCCCAAACCCAGGTGCCTTTTATACCTACTCTTTATCATATTTTTCCCATTCTTTAAGTTTCCTGCTTTCATAAAACTAACTTTTCTCATCTTAAACTTTTACCAGTTATGGCAAAAGTTAACCAATTTCCACTACTATCGAAATAAATAAAGAGAGCACCACTTACAATTTCTTTAAAACTGGCCCAACTTAAGAATAGCTAGTCGGTAGTTATTCATATTCCTCCCCCTCATCTCCTCTAACAATTCAACCTCATACGCTGTTTTTTTTAATGTATTCCTGTCCAAAGCCTGGAAATGAATTCTCAGATTACAGATTTGCTTCATGAGCTGCCAAGTCTATCATCTCTGCTTAATTAAAGCAGAATTTTCTTTTTTCTTTTTTCTGAATACGAGTAGCAGGAGCAGTTTCTTTGAGAGGAGTGGTACCTTTTCTAGCTTCATGTGACACGATGGAGGATCTTTGTATCGCAAACCATAGGTAAGGGATAGAGAGGGACAATTGGATACAATCTGACTTTGAGCAAAAACGATGAAATTTTGTCTGGGAAGCGGCAAGAGGCCGTTTGCAGGTAAGCAGAAGCAATTTAGGATTCTACAAAGAATTAATATGCTAAGAAACCGTTGTGATAATTGACCGAGAACTTTTTTTTCTATTTCCCACCTGATAAAAATAAACTACAATATGAACAAATATCCTATATACAGGATCGTGGATGGCGGTGCATTTGTTGCACCTCATGATACATTTATTAGGTGGCAAAACCTTAATTTCCAACAGATCTTAAAGCTAGCTATGAAACTGAGAGAGGAGCATACATAGGATAGAAACCAGATAACTTTATACTCACCAGTTCAGATTTGAAAGAAGAAAGTGTAGAACATCAAGATCTCCATATTTGAACATCCGTGTGCCCCAGAATTTGTGATTTCCACGTTTACCTAGTTATGCAGTAAATATGGAACTCAGGATCGAAAAAGACATTCAAATATATCAAAAGTATTTAAAAAATAATCATATGTAGACCTTTAATCAAGCTAGTGAAGAGAAACTCCAACTAATTAGAACTTCCATAACATAATGGAGACAACAAAAATAGTATTTGTTAGACAAACTAATTTGGAATAAACAGTGAATATGGCATCACAGTTGTGATGTCAATTTTTGTTCGTTCAAGTTAGAATTTCAAATAAATCCCCAACACTCCTCTTGTTCTGTTCTGTCGTGACCAAGCTTGAGATGAAGTTCAAATTTTTTATGGCCTTATGCAATAAAAGTGTACTTGTTTTTTGCATAAATATAAAAAAGGTAAAGGTAAATGATGGAAACAAATAGAAAAGGAACAAGGTTACAACTTTTTATGGAAGATCCCGTTTCTACTTTTTATTTTATATACATTAATGGTTTACTTTCTTTTTATGGTAAATTTATATATACACACAAAATATATATGCACATTAATACGTGTGTGTGTGTGCGCGCGCGCGCGAGTGCCCACAGCTTTGTTTATGAAGAGTGGAAACATAAATCTAGTTTGGAGGAAACTAAAAGTAGCCAAGCTATACACACCTAGGCACTGAGCGTAGCCTAGGTACCTAGGTGGCCATCCGTGACAGCAGTGACTCAATATATAACCCCCAATGCATATACAACATGAGTAAATAGGTTCTCATAGCCTAGGTATGTCAGGAATTTAGGATATTAAATCACTCGAAGTGAAATTTTCATATAGTTAACCAGACACGTATAGAGATTGTTTATGTTCTATTGCCACGCGGTACACGTGTGAATGACAAGTTTAGGTGAACGAAAGCAAGAAAATAGAAGTTTTCAAACAACTAATAGTCAATCGCAAAAGAGTACAAGGTGAACACAAAAACACATATGTGAGCTATTCCTTAGCTACTGCACATAATAGGGCAAATGAATACCTAACAGTACTCTAACTACACCAAAATTCTTGAAGATCAACGACAATGCGAATGGCCACTACATGCTCTTGCATGGTGCATGATGAACACATGTCACCTAACTACACATTTGATTAAGCATGCCAATGCTGCAGATGCCTGAACTGCACATGGCCAGTTGAACAATTAGCACGCGGTCACATGTGTATATACACAAGCCACAACCAACTGTTTTCCCATTTAACCACAACCAGCTATTCATGGTCTTATGGGCAACAATGATGGATCGAATTACAGGTTTTCAGCATATCTATTTTCAGATCAGCCATAGGATCTTCATAGCAATAAAAGAGGGTATGAGAAGATTGTGACTAGAACAGATTCTAAATTGGGTGACCAATTTAATCTCCTATACAAATACCAAGTTTCACTTAATCACTCCCTTATTGGATCTAAGATGTTGTTATTGAAGACCATGAAATCTTCTTCAATGCACACTTACGTATACCACCAAAGAGGACAGTAATTATGCAACAAATATTTTGAGCTAGTTATGGATCCCCTCTGTAGAGCTCAATCCTTCTTATATTGATATAGCAGGTGTCGGCCTAGCCAGCAATCTTTCATGGAGTAGTTTCAAATAAATACTAGTATTACAATTAAGTAAACCTTAAACAAAAGACACATGCATAGTTTGGATTAGATAAGATAATCCTCCCCAGAATGATGTCAAATTTGTAAAGTAACCAATAAAGAAAAACCAAGGTTCGTCAAGTACTTCTAAACATTTTCAATTCTAAGACTTTACCAGTATGGAAATAGCAGTCATTTGTTCCATCAAAAAGAGATAATCCAACCATTTCGTCTGCTGCTGCATAAGAGTGCACAATCTCCAAAAAGACAAGCAGTCCAAGCCCTGCGCCCACACAAAAAAAAAGGAACACAATTAGAAGGACCCTGAATACAAAGTAAAGAGAAATCATAACAAGGAGGTGGGTCCCAATGTTATCTGAAATATCCATTGACGTAAACAGACATCATCTATAATCATTATCAGCACACACAAGCTAAAATCAAGGAGAGGCATAAGCTGGATAGGACAATATTTGAACCAAGATTTTTAACCAATTTAAGTTCCCATAAAAAAATTATTTTTGGAAAACCAGAGTGGACAACTGCATCACTACTTTGAACTGGGGAAGGGAAAAATCTTAATAAGAGAACTTGTCTTTGATAATCCAATGTGATAAAATTTAAAAAGGTAGTTAAATAAAGTCAAATCTTAAATATCAGTCCCTGTATTAGGTTTGACTAACCTATGAGACAATATAATAATGTAAGTGCACCTCCACTTAACTTTGGTACAATTGTTATTCGTAATTAAAGTGAAGAAAGGTACCTACCACAACTATGTCCTCTTAATTTAACCCTTCTAAAGCTCTATTTCAAAAAAGTTGTTTAATAAGAAGCCAACACTAATCCCAGAAAAATAGACTTCGACAAGAAATGGGTAACCACTCTCTACATCTAGATGGTAAGTAAGTATTTTATAGCTAAATAGATAAACCTAATAGGATTTATCCTATAGAATACATTCCATAATATTTTCCTTACTCAAGTTCAATTAATCTAGAGACATTTTCTCTTTATATTAAACCTGCCCCTCAAAATAAAAAGTGAGAAAACCAACTTAAATTCGTTTATTTTGGAAACATAGAAAGTTGTCGCTAAAACTGACAGGAATAGAGCACAACCAAATATAGAAGTGGTGCTGGATTCTTCTTCCGAAAAAGCCGAAGGGAATAGCACAGTGAAAGAAAGTGCTTCTAGCATACAAACGGAAAGGAATCTACTCTCAACCACGGGAAAAAAAGTATGGTATTGGTAATCCCCTACATCATAAATGTAGCTTGAATTGGGAGAACAATGACAAGAAAAAGTATAGAGGAGGGCATTGATCACTTTATAGAGGAGGGTTTCGACTGCATAAAGAGAGACAAGGCGCCGGTGACAGAAAGAGGAGTCGCATCATCAGAGACAAAAGAGTTTGAAAAATAATATTGGTTGGCGAGTGGTCTTAGGCAGAAGCTACTTGAGACTCTACCAAGATCGTAAAGGCTCTTTATACCATGTTAAATTACGTGACAACCTCATCTAAAATCCCAAACTATTAGAGTGGGAAGGACCTTTATTTATTTAATTATATCTTTATACCTTTCCCTAAAAAAATATTAAAAAAAGTACTATTTTGGACTCTTCTCTCTCTTTCTCTCTCTGCGCTCCCCCCCCCCCCAACGGTCACAACGAGACCCCGCCCCAGCCCAACGGTAAGAAGCAGTCAGCGTCCACCACCACCCCACACCGACGACGACCACCACCACCCCACGCCGGCGACCACCCCCACCAGCTGGTAAGCCCCCCCTCCTTATCTCTCACCTCTACCCACCCCATCTCTGTCGCCCCATCCCCCCCCCTCCCCCGCCTTCTCCCTCTCTATACGCTATCTCTCTCCCATACCTCCCCCACACCGGCCACGACCACCGCCGGGCAGCAACATCGATCCCCTTTCCCCTCTTTCTTTTCTTCTTCATTTATAAATCTTAGCTGCGTGTAAGCCCTCCCACCCCCCAACCCCCCCACACCCCACACACACACTGTTTCCTCTGCCCCTTTCCCCTTCGTGTCCCCTTTCTCTTCGTTTTCTTTTTCGTGCTTCTTTGCTACGGCTGGGGCTTCACCAGTGGTAGCGGTGACAACCCCTCCCCCTTTGTTTGGCTCCGTGGTGTTTTGCGTGTATTTCAGGTTAGGGCCGGTGGTTATTGGCAGCGAGCAGGACGTGCTTGTGCAAACAGTAAAGAGCAGCCCGGGCAAGTGTCAACAAGAGGCGGCGGGAGTCGGACGTGAACGCGCCCAGGTGGCCACAACACCGTCGTGTATACCGAGACAATTCCCAGGTTCTACTCGCGGGAGTTGGTACCTCCCGCTTTCCTGTTTTCCTCCCTTGTGCTAGTTAAATTGATGCCATCTTAGTTTGTATTAGTTTAATCACCGTATTAGTGTGCCTGTAGTTGCATCTTGTCTTCTTCTAGTTTAGTCTGTTGCCTAGTGTGTGTTAGTGATTTCCCTTATTCTGCCGTAGGTATAATGGCTGTGGTCAGGGATGGTCAAGTGAGGTCATGTCCTCGGGGGGAGCGGGAGGTGGGGCAGTGGTTAGGGGGTGGGTCAGGAAGCAAGGGAGGTAAGGGGAACAAGGGTGCCTATATGTCGAGAATTGGGTCATGGAATGTAGGTACATTGATGGGTAAGTCTATAGAGTTGGCGAAGATCCTCCGAAAGAGGAGGGTCAATATAGCGTGTCCAGGAGACTAGGTGAGTAGGGTCGAGGGCGAGGGATGCGGACAGATATAAGCTTTAGTACTCCGGAGTCCGGAAGGGTAAGAATGGAGTGGGTCTCTTAGTGGATGGGGATCTTAGAGTCTGTGGTTGAGGTTAAACGGGTGAATGATAGATTGATGGCTATTAAGTTGGTGGTTGGAGATTGCACCCTTAACGTCGTTTGCGCTTACGCGCCGCATGCGGGCCTGGATGAGGAGGTTAAACGGTGATTCTGGGAGGGATTAGATGAGATTGTGCGCTAGGTCCCGCCTGATGAGAGGCTGTTCATAGGAGGGGATTTCAATGGTCATATTGGGTCGACCGCTAGGGGCTATGGTGAGGTGCATGGAGGCTTCGGTTTTGGGGAGAGGAACGGATGAGGTACTTCGCTGTTGGACTTCGCTAAGGCATTTGGGTTGGTGATTGCGAACTCTATGGCTGTCCAACAGGACGGGACGGCCCGTCCCTTCCCGCGTCCCGTCCCGTCCCGTCCCACTTCAAGTTAAAGGGGATGGGCCAATGTTAAACGGGGCACGGGATGGGACGGGGCGGCCATTTCGTCCCGTTTGTTCCGTCCCGTTTCATCTTGTTTCGTCCCGTCCCGTCCCACCTGGATTTTTTTTTTTAAAAATCTAGCCGTTGGGCAACGGCTTAAATTGCAAAAATAGCCGTTGCCAACTGCCAAAAACGGGCAAAACACCCCCTATCCCCCCTCAAACTTTTAATATAACTCCTAAGTTTATTAAATTACACTTTGGCCCTATTTTCTACTATAAATACCCCCATTCTTCTTCATTGGTTCCCACAAAAAATCAATCTTCTCTCTCAAATCTCTGACATTCTAATATTCTATCTATATTATTCTCTCAATTTTGTTACTATCAACTATCAAGTATCAACTATCAAGTGATAACTTTCAAGTTTCAAGTATTTGGGCAAATTTTTGGAGCAACTTTCAAGCTTTAAATTAATTCGTCAAGTATTTGGAGCAATATTTTGGGCAATTTCTTCAAGTTTCAATATTTAATCACGGTGCACTCGTTCCATCTCCTAATTTTAATATATAATTTTTGCGTATCATTTTAGTGCTTAATTTTTGTGTTTATTTACGTGTTCTATTTTCGTATTTCATTTGTGTGTTTAATTTTTGTGTTAGCTTTTTTTAATTTAAATTCGTATTTAAATTATGGCACCTAAAAATGTATTTGGCATTTTAAAAAAAAGTAGTAAAAAAAATAGTAAAGGTGAAAGTAGTATTAATCCTAATCCTAGTCCTAATCCTAACCCTTCTCCTAGAATTAGAAAACATATAGATGAAATGACTCATGTTGATGAAACTTCATTTTCCCAACCCCCCGCAATTTATGATGTTAATGTCGGAGAACAACTAGATCATGAAACTTTACAAAGACAATTTGGCAATGATATTTTTTTTGAGGATGAAGAAAATGAGGAAGAAGAATTAGATGAAACACCCACTAGTCCCGCAACACAAGCTCCAACTCAGAGTCAATCTCGGTCTGGAGCTTTACCCCTGTACCCCCTATAAGAGGTAAGCCTAAGGCTGAACGTCCCAAAACATCACTTGTATGGAAATTTTTTAAACATGATAAAGTCAATCATCATGCTATATGTGAAAAATTTAAGCAACAATTTGCACACACAACAAGTGGTGGGACGGGGGGTTTAACTAGACACTTAAGAAAGGATCACAAATCTTTATGGATACAAGCTAACATAGAAGCCGGAAAAATTATAAATCCTACCATCGGTACTGACACTCCTAGTGGATCTAGTTCTAATCAAATTCAACAACAACTTGACCCTGCTTCTGGTCATGTTTTACGCCCCTATAACAAAGATAGACTCGTGAGAACTTAGCAAAAATGGTGGTTGTCTGTGGCTTACCATTTACTTTTCCTTCTCACCCTGCTTTTGTGCATTATATACAACAAACTTATAACCCTGATTTTCAAGGTTTTCCTAAGACCACGGTTAGAAATGATGTTTTTAAATTTCAAACCGAATATCTTCACTATATTCGTTGTGTATTTTTTCACTTAGATTGTAACGTGTCTATCACATCTGATATAGGTCGTAGTCCTAATGGTTGTGATTATTTAACTGTTACATGTCATTGGGTTGATCATCACTGGAACATGCAAAAACGTATTATTGGTTATAAATTTGTTGATTCAAAACACACTGGAGCATATATTGCAACTACTGTTCTACAAATACTTGATTTTTATGGACTCATTGATAAAGTTTTAACTATCACCTTAGATAACGCTTCTGCTAACACAACCGCAGCAAATAGCTTAAAATCTAGACTTTGTCCAATTATTCTAGCAATTTTTCATGTTAGATGTGCATGCCATATTTTTAACTTGGTTGTAAAAGATGGTCTTAATTTATTTTCTGATGCTTGTAGTAAAATACAACATGCTTGTGGCTATATTTTTCATGCTAATAAAGCGAAGTAGAATTCGTGAATTTGCTCAACANCGGAGGACAATCTAGAGATTTCCGATTATTCAGAGATCGATAATCAGAAGAAAAATCTGGTTTTGAAAAATTAACCACTAGGGAGAAGAAGAATACAATGAGATACTTAGCACTGGGAGCGATGACGGCATGGAGCTCATGGAACATCAATCAACATTGCCAATTCCAGCAGAATGTCCGAGAGATATTATTGATAAGTTACAAAGAAGCTATATAGGAGCTTAAAAATATTAGTATGATAATTTGTAATTGGCTACTAAGAGGCCTAGTTCAAACAGAACCCTTCCTAGAAGGTGGCTGCGTAGATTAGGTGCTCTTCAAAAGAATTATATTTGTATTTGAGATTTGAAAGTTCTATTAATAAAATAAAAGGCTCTAAGCGTTTTTTTTTATGAATTGTCTTAGTTACTTAATACTTTGAAATTATATTAAACAAATTATAACTCTATTATAAATTTATAATTACTAGAATATTTCATTACAAGTCTTTTTGTTTTAATATTTTATAATTCTTTACTTAGTTTTCTAATTTTCGTTTTAACATTTAAGTTAATTAAATAAGTCAAAAATCTAGTCGTTGCAAACTTTAAAAACATAGTAATTTTCAAAAAACTACACGTTTTTTTTTTAAAAAAAAAATACACTTAAGGCCCACGATTCCCGTTCCGTCCCGTCCCGTCCCATCCCGTTTGTTAGCGGGACGGGATGGGCCGACCGTTTCGTCCCGTTTGTTAGAGGGACGGGATGGGCCGATCGTTTCGTCCCGTTTGTCCCGTCCCGTTTCGTCCCGTCCCGCCACCGTCCCGCTTAATGTCGTCCCGTCCCGTCTCGTTGGACAACCATAGCGAACTCTAGCTTTCCTAAGAAGGAGGAGCATTTGGTGACTTTTCAAAACGCGGTGGCAAAGACTCACATTGACTACCTCCTCCTCAGGAAGTGTGACAGAGGGCTGTGTAAGGATTGCAAGGATATTCCGGGTGAGATACTCGCGACGCAGCACAAACTCTTGGTGATGGACGTTGGTATTATGTTAAAGAGGAGGAAAAGGTCTGTCCGAGGACGACTGAGAGTCAGGTGGTGAGTCTTGACAAAGGATAAAGCCTAGGAGCTGGAGGGGCGGTTGTCGGCTATGGGAGCCTGGAGGAGTAGTGGGGATGTAAGCACTATGTGGTCGACGACAGCAGACTGTATAAGGGAGGTTGCGAGAGAGGTGTTAGGGGTCTCGGCGGGCATCTCTGGCGGGCACAAAGGAGACTGGTGGTGGAATGAAGTGGTCCAAGGTAAAGTGAAGGCGAAGAAGGTGGCGTACCTAAAGTTAGTAGGGAGCATAGGTGAGGAGGAGAGGCGAGCGTGCATGGAGAGGTATAAGGTAGCTAGGAAGGAAGTTAAGCTGGCGGTCACGGAGGCTAAGACTACGGCTTATGGTCGTATGTACGAGGAACTGGGGGAGAATGGCGGGGAGAAGTTATTCCGGCTGGCCAAGACGAGAGAGAGGAAGGCTCGAGATTTGGACCAAGTGAGATGCATCAAGGACGAAGATGGTAGAGTACTGATGGAAGATGCCCAGATTAAGAGGAGATGGCAGAATTACTTTCATAAACTTCTTAATGAAGAGGGGATCGAGATATTATGCTAGGTGAACTAGAGCATTCCAAGAGTCACCGTGACTTTGGGTACTGCAGGCGCGTCAAGGTTGAGGAGGTTGTGGGAGCTATGCGTAAGATGAGCAGGGGCAGAGCGACCGGCCCGGACGAAATTCCGGTTGAATTTTGGAAGTGTGTGGGTAGAGCAGGCTTGGAGTGGCTGACGGGACTGTTTAATGTTATTTTTAGGACGAATAGGATGCCAGATGAGTGGAGGTGGAGTACGGTGGTTCCATTGTATAAGAACAAAGGTGATATCCAGAGTCGTAATAATTATAGGGTATCAAATTACTGTGTCATACCAAGAAAGTTTGGGAGAGGGTGGTTGAAGCGGGGGTGAGGAGGACGGTGTCTATATCCGACAACCAGTTTTGGTTCATGCCGAGTCGTTCTACTACGGAAGCTATACACCTTATTAAGAGACTGGTGGAACAGTACAGGGAGAGGAAGAAGGATCTGCACATGGTATTTATTGATCTGGAGAAAGCGTATGACAAGGTTCCTAGAGAAGTTATCTGGAGATGCTTGGAGGCGAAAGGTGTATCGCTTGCCTACATTAGGGCGATTAAGGACATGTATGATGGGGCTAAGACTTAGGTTAGAACAGTAGGAGGCGACTCTGAGCATCTTCCGATTGTTATGGGGTTGCACCAAGGTTCTGCGCTCGGCCCGTTCTTATTTGCCCTGGTGATGGACGCGTTAACACAACATATTCAAGGGGAGGTGCCATGATGTATGTTATTCGTTGATAAATAGTCTGATTGATGAGTCGCGAGTCGGTGTTAACGAGAGGCTGGAGGTTTGGAGACATGCTCTTGAGTCTAAGGGTTTCAAGCTGAGCAAGACCAAGACGGAAAACCTGGAGTGTAAGTTCAGCGCTGAGTCGAGGGAAGTGGACGTGGATGTGAGGCTTGAATCACAGGTCATCCCAAGTAGAGGCAGTTTACCTTGGGTCGGTTATTCAAGGGGGAGGGGAGATCGACGAGGATGTCACACGCCGTATTGGTGTGGGATGGATGAAGTGGAGGTTAGCATCTGGAGTCCTGTGTGACAAGAGAGTGCCACCGATACTCAAAGGTAAGTTTTATAAAGCGGTGGTTAGACCGGCCATGATGTATGGGGCTGAGTGTTGGCCTATTAAGAACTCACATATCCAGAAGATGAAAGTAGCAGAGTTGAGAATGTTGAGGCGCATGTGCGGGCACATTAGGATGGATAAGATTAGGAATGATGATATTCGGGAGAAGGTGGGCGTGGCTCCCATTGATAACAAGATGCGGGAAGCGAGGCTCAGATGGTTAGGGCACGTTCAGAGGAGAAGCCCAGATGCTCCTGTAAGGAGGTGTGAGCGGCTGGCTTTGGAGGGCACGAGAATAGGTAGAGGGCGGCCTAAGAAGTATTGGGGAGAGGTGATCAGGCAGGACATGGCGAGGCTTCATATTTCCAAGGACATGGCCCTTGATAGGAAGTTGTGGAGGTCGAGTATTAGGGTTGTAGGTTAGGAGGTAGTTGAGTCTTTCCTTAGTTCGTACCTTTGTGAGGCTAGTTTGGTAGGGTTTTTGTCTGAGACAGCTAGTGGCAATGTTGTGTCTTACTACTCTTCATAGGGACGAGTCTATTTACTGGCTAGCGCTTTTGCTTTGCACCTATTTTCTGGTTTTCATGATGTTGTTATTTTTCTTATGGTATCTGTAGGTGGTACTGATATTGTCTCTTTTCGTCTTCTTGAGCCAAGGGTTTTTCGGAAAGGGGTAAGGTCTGCGTACACACTACCCTCCCCAGACCCCACTAGTGGGATTTTACTGGGTCGTTGTTGTTGTTGTTGTTGTATACCTTTCCCTAATGTGCAGCGTTGTTCTTTTTCACGGGTTAAGCAGTGAAAGTTCTTTTTGATAATAGGTGTGTTGAGATTGAAACAAGGATCTTTGCCTGCTCAAGTAATATGTAAGAACAGAAAACTTCCTCTTGACTTGATCTATTAACAACATAGAAGAAGAATCTTAGTACAATATAGTAAATAATCATCTTATATGTCTAATAAGGTAAGTAAATGTTTTATATAACCAAATGCGTGATAGCCTTACATACAACCAGAATATTTTATAATATCATACTCAAGTTCAATGAATCTAGACACGTATTCACTTAACATTCAACAAATAGGACCATAAGTGCTACCTTCAAAGGATCTCATTCGATATGTTGAATGGCATATACACCAAAAGATGCAGAAACAAAATGTCACTTGATATTACCAACCAGCCAAATATACCTCCAGTTTTGTCCAGACGTCAAGCTAAAAAAAACCATTTTTCTGAGAAGTCAAGACAGATCTTAAGCAAGTTCTGCAGCTTTAAACTAATAAAATGTCACTGAAGAGATAACAAATACGAGGGGAAAAGGTGTTTATGTAGTTTAGTGGCCTCTGGCTGTTATGAGCATGAAGAGTACTGGAGAAAAGATGGAAAACAGGGCTCCTTAGTTAGAATTGCATTATACAATCCAAAAAGAGTATAATAGCCAGGAAATTCTGAGACTGCTAAAGAAGAGTTGAAAGCAACACGGTGGTACTAATAGAACTCTAGGAAAAGTTAATAGGTTTGGTAAAAACATGCAAGAAACCAAATGAAATGCATTAAGCTATGCCATTCTGAGCAGAAGAAATAGCGACTAAATGAACCCAACAGAAAGTAAGCATAGATGATAGACCAACCAGTCAATCAATAAAATATGCCTCAATCACAAATCATACAAATTATATTAGTCAGAAAAATAAAAAGGAAGGAGAAAGAAAATAATATGCAACATAAGTAGTCACTAACAGCTTAGCAGGACGTAAACCATATTTGCCCAGGTCAAACGTCAAGGATTACCATGTGCTTCATCAACCAGGCGCTTGAAGTCATCCGGTGTGCCAAAACGGCTACTAACAGCATAAAAGTTTGTCACCTTTACATAAGAAATGGTGAAATCATATTGATGGTGAGGCAGAAATATTAGTCATAAAGATTCAGGAGGTTGTGAATCTATTCAAGAAAAGGTTATATGATGATGTTCAGTAAGCTACTTCCTAATAGCTAAAAGAGAGAGGGATATAAAGATGCAATCCTTCAAATGCATAACCTGACAATTGATCAATTAAACTGTTCAACTAACACTGTGTTCAACTGTTCATGCAGGATTCGTGAAGTTATGATCTGTTAATGTTACCAAACTTGAGGATCAAACATCAGGATCGGTTTATACATCCGATGTATTCCACATGGTAATTGAATACAGGAAAGGGCATCAATCTGATTATTTTGTCTGAAACAGAGTGAAAATTTCCCAGCATCTAGCTGCCTCACAATTTCCAACACATAATCGAAATAAAATGCCGTATGTTGCATTTAGCTTACTATTCTAACCCTTCGTAAGCAATCTCTTAATTTTAAATACAAATTTATGTGTTTGGTTAGGGGATGAAAAAGAGGTGTTAGAAGATGGAAAATTAGGAGCACTAGTTATTCCCCTTGTTTGGTAAGGAATAAAGTGTTCTTTCTCAACCCTCTAAAACTGGGCGTACAGGCACTTTCACTTGCCTCCAGCTGTATGACACCACCCAAAGTAAATCATCAATGCTTCCTCTAAGGCAAGTAAAACCAATAAATATCTCTTTCCTTCACCTCCCCCCCCCCCCCCCAACTAGAACTATCAAGCAATTTAGGGAAAGAGTTGAGTTTGGATAAAAGAATCATTGGCCGACGAAAAATTCAATTCCCCGAGGCCCCTTCACTAGTGACACCCCATTTCCATCCCTGCCATCACCACTCACCCCCTAAATCCTCCATATTGATCCTTCCCCACCACCTTCAACCTGTCACCAACTCCTCCCTCTAACCACCGCCTCTCCTCAATATCATTTCCTTCCATAAAATCCTATCTTCTACAAAAGCCGAGACATACCCACACAAATTCTTCCATCACACAAATACAGAGACAAAAGCCCACAATTGAAAGATTAATCCTTTCACCAATCCCGTTTTCATTCCCCAACGGTCTCATACTCACCACACCAGAGACACATACACAAGCACAGTAACTAGTAAGTTCACATTTCCATTGTGCCCTTCCTTCACAGGCCATTACCTGTAGAGGAACCCACCCATAAGAACCAGTGTTGTCAAAGGCTCATTTAAGGCACCCTTAAGCCTTGAAGCTCAGAAAAGCTCAAGGAGGGCGCTTCGCCTCGCTTAAGCTGTGGTTTAGTGTAAACAAGGCACTGTGGTGTGTGCCTCAATGCCCATGAGTTCTATCTTGAACTTAGTAGTACTAAACAACAAATATTATCAGCAAATAAGTGTATTAGTCGCTGAGGAAAACATTAGGAGTGAATTTGTTTCTTTTTTCTTGAATTACATATGTATTTTTAATTTTTTTTCCTAGCTGCGCCTTTTTTACTAAAGACCGCACTTTAGTAGCGCTTAAATCCCCAATCGGCTTGGAGCGCTTTTTAGAGCTTTTTGCTTTTGACAACACTGATAAGAACCAGAAGATCTTCAGTGCTATTCTAGCCTTCATTTCCACTTTTGACTGCGTCAGTCCGGTAACTGTGGTTCACGACATAGGCATTCTGTCAACTTTATTTTATTTTGAGCTCTTAGATCCTTTCTCCTTACCATTTAAGTCTATTTCTCAATCTAATCATTTAGTATACCTTGTATATACCAAAAGAAAATGATTAAATGCCTCTGTCAAGTTTACCCAAAGGTGGCAAATGAAACAACTTAATAGTGTAAGTTAAACACCAAAACATTGTAAGAAAGTGTGGGAGACGATGAAGGAGGAATATATTCAGTCCTGGCTATTTGAGAATCTTTTGTTTTTCCTTTTTCCTTGTTTATTCTTTTGTTAACCTCTTGGTGATATTCAATGAGAAGTTCCTGGGGAAAAATTCTTTTTTAAGGAAGCGAGTCTCAGTGCAAGAGAGGTGTTGTCACCAAGTTCAAGCCTTGTGACCATGTAACAAATCCAAAAGGAAGTACACAAAATCCTAATGGCTTGGCTCACATTTTTATATCAGGAAGCACAAAAAAAGTCCAATTTTGAGAATGTATCATGTGTATTTTTCAGGGATAGAGAATTGACGAGAAACTATTCTTAACTCACTCTATATCCAACAGTGAAATAATCCTTGTGCTCAACAACTCCAATTAATTGTATTGCATTGTATCCAGCTTCTTTTGCATGTGGAAGAACCTGGAATGACAAAAAGAAAAAATATTAAAGGAAGTCAACCTGAAAAGACAGAAAAAGCAGTAAAAAAATTATCCACACAAATGCACAAAAAAAAAAAAAAAAAAACACACTCCTCGACATAGAACAAAATCATTCTGGTAAAACAGACTTTCTTTTAAAGGATATGGAATTAGTTCAGATCTAACAACCTAAACCAGAGGCTCAAAGACAATCATATTTCTAATTCACAGAGGCTCTATAAGATTTTTGAAGAGTAACACTTGCAAAAGTTTTGATGTCAACACTAATTGGAAGATAGAGTGTAACGCAGTCACCTTGCTAATAAAATCACTGAAAGAAGAAACTTTTGGTTCCTGGCTGCAGATACCGACGTGACATTCATATATGCGCAATGACTTAGGCTTGAGAGGATGCTTGTGTTTCCACTTGTAAGCATGTTCCGGAGGTGGTTCCCAATGAACTGCCAATGCTTGCTTCCCGTCGGCATCTGCGAATGAGCAAAGGAAGTTCAGCAACATCAATACAAATCCCAGAAAACAAAGAAGGCCTTGTTGGCTCAGGGTAGCAAACAAAATACAAAATGAAATCAACATTATTGATATGAATATGTTTCCAGCAGCTCTTTTACAGCAAGCATGGAGATTCAATTAGAATCACCCACTCAAAATGCCCATCACAAATGGAGCCTCGCATCAGGTGTCCAATGTGATAAGAATGTTCCATCAAGACTTAAAGGTAAGTTCTATTTGGTTGTTAGACCAATTATGTTGCATGGGGCAAAGTGTTGACCAGTCAAGAACTCACACGTTCAGGAGATAAAAGTAGCGGAAATGAGGATACTCAGATAGATGTGTGGGCATACTAGGAGAGATAAGATAAGGAACGAAGATATACGGAGCAAGGTAGGAGAGGCCTCTGTGGTGGACAAGGTGTGGGAGACGAGGCTAAGATGGTTCAGGCATGTGAAGAGGAAGAGCACAAATGCCTCAGTGAGGAGGCTGGCAGTGATAGGTCTAAAGAACAGAAGAGGTAGATCGAGGAAGAATTGGGAAGAGGTGATTAGACAGGATATGTCACATCTTAGCTCACCGAGGATATAACCCTAGATAGGAGAGCATGGAGGCCGAGGACTAGGTAGAAAGTTAGTAGGTAGTCGAGCGATTTCTCTCCTTTCTGTGGGAGAGCATGGTTCTAGTTTAGAGCACTTTATCTGCTCCCTCTTCTCCTTATGAGTATTAATATTATTATATTATTATCTTATTTTTTAATTTTATATTGTTGTTGTTTCATTTACTTTGGTTATCTTTACTATTTTTGTTGTCAAAACTTCTTTTTTTCAGTATTTTCGTCTTAGCTTTTTTACTTTTGTATTTTTCAAACTTAGTTTGAAAATGCTTTTCTTGAGTCGAGGGTCTACTGGAAACAGCATCCCATCTCACACAAGATAGGGATAAAGTCGGTTACACCTCACCTTCCCCAACTCCACTTGTGGATCACATTGGGTATGTTGTTGTTGTTGTAATTAAATGTTCGGTTGTCGAGATACAGTTTGCATTTTTGAAGGATCCGACATGGATGCGGCAACACATTTGGAGGATCCGAGCAACATAGGTACCAACAGATGTCACCTTCCCCAACCCCACTTGTTGATCACACTGGGTATGTTGTTGTTGTAATTAAATGTTCGGTTGTCGAGATACAGTTTGCATTTTTGAAGGATGCGGCAACACATTTGGAGGATCCGAGCAACATAGGTACCAACAGATAGAAGCATAGAGTGAAAGGACCAAGGCTACTAATTTTATAAATTGTCGCATCTAAGGATGTGGCTTAGTTGTTAATGAAACCGGAATGAACCATAAGAGACCAAGGTTCAAATTCCAACTGAGGCAAAAACTATAGGTAATTTCTTCCCATCATTTTAAGCCATGGCGCTAATACCTATACTAGTGGGAGGTAGCTAGGTAGTTGATACTTGCTGGATTAGTAGATGCTCGGTGATGTATATATATATTGTTACTTGTCATATTTTATATATATATTGTTACTTGTCATATCTACAAATAAACATGCGTTGTGCGGGAATATAAAATCCAAAGAATGTACTCATGGATTTATGTGTGTAACTGAGAGATCATTTAGGCAGATAAACAGAATACACCAAAAGAAAAATGTTCAATATTCTACATGCTTCTCTCCTTTTACTTATACTAGCAGCTAATTGCATATAACCAGTTATGGAGATAAAAAAAAAAAGTATGTAAATACAAATAAGCAGTGCTTGTTTACCTGGAATGACATAAGTAGCCCATGCAGGAACTCGTTCAAGAGGACCATTTGGTGTGTTAAAATACACCCTGTATTTGCTTCCATGAGGTAAACCAGGCATATATTTCTGTAACCAAGCTTTCCTTCCCTTTTTAGTTTCCAACCAGTAAGCAATAGGAGGCTGCTTCATACGAAATTTCTGAAACGATTCGGGATCACCTATAATATTGAAAATATCATATTCTTTTCCGTTATCTATCACATCATATGAAGGCAAATTGCTTGCTGGGTCATTTTTGTGTTGCTCTTTCCAGGATTTGTATCGTGTCACTGCATCAGGCATTTCTTCTAGTTCCTCTTCCGTTTGGGGTCCATTTGGGCCAAACATTTCCTCGTACAACTTTGCCGCCACCTCATAACGTGACTTAATGAAGCGATCTTCTCCGGGTTCCCAATACTCATCATTTGCTTTTTTAAAGATTTCTTCGATGGTACTGCCATTGTCACCTTTATCATAGTCATCCACATAATTGTACTGTTGAAAATACAATTTATCAGGTTCTTCTCCTTGACGCAATTTATCTTCAAGAATAATAAACCAATACCCACAATCGTCATGACCAAAATGACCCTCTCTGGCACAATTATCAGTTGTTGACCACCCATTAAAGTCACCAACTAGAGCACAGTAGCGAGCACCTGTTAAACATCTTGGCACTTATATGTCAAAAACCATAAAAGAAAAAAAAAATAACAAAGAAACAACGAAAAAGACAAACAAACAATTCTTGATTACCAAGAGCTAAATCCACTCCCCTGCCCCATCTATAAACCCAGAGCTGGAATATAACATTGATGAATTATTTAAGTTGATGCATAAATGTGTACTTACTTACTTTACATGGGAAATCTCCCATCTGGTTTTCTCTCCAGTGATATCACACCATAGTCTAACCATGAATCACTAATTGATGGACCGAGAACTCTAAGTCCATAATGAAAATTAGAAGATACCAAATATTGAGCAATTTTCAAGATATCATGTAGTGGATGGATTGAACAATGTTTATGTACTTAGTACTTGCAGAATGGCCAATGTAACTAAAAATAAGCACCAGATCAATTGCACAATGTAGCATGAATTATGACATACAGAACTACACATTAAGATGACATATGCTGATATATAAAACACATTAAGATGACAAATTCTTGTATCGAATTGAACCTGGAGCCCATTCCAAGAAATCCACTCGATGCTGCACATTGCGATGCATACCCAGTAATTCATATCTATGAAATAGACATCCAGAATCAGTAAAGAGTTTAAATGTGCAAATGCAAGACGCATTCTTTCATAACTTTAGCAAATAGGCGGAAGGTAGAATTATTGTCAATGTACGAAATTGGCGCATAAAACTAACCCAGTAGACATCTCCTTGAGACTGAAGTGACGAGTCAATATTTCATCCTTCAAGTCCTTCAATGATTTATATCTGCAAAGCAGAATGCGTAAAAGAATAAAACACCCTGGAAGATTATTGCGCATATAAAATGGTTCAAGCATCAAGTAGTAGCGGGAACAGTCAAAGTAAACTAAAAAGTGGCTGCTCGTTACTGTTTTGGGTAAGGAGCTTCTAGCATGTCTAAAAGATCATTGAAATACTCCCTCCTCCAATTTGACGTAGTTTGACTAGACACGGAGTTTACAAAGAAAAAAGGAAGGTTTTTGAAACCTATGGTTTTAAACATGCTACTCCCGCCGTTCCAATTTATGTGTCAAAGTTTGAATAGGAATAGAGTTTAAGAAAAAACGAATGACTTTTGGAATTTGTAGTCATAAACATGTCATACAATCTGTGAGTGGTTATACGACTTTTGAAACTTGTGGTTTTGAATATTCTAAAACATTTGTGTGGCTCACTAAAGATAAAATGAGAACTTTAGGTTATATTATTATCAAATTTCAAAAGCTCCCATCTTTTTTAACGGGACTAACGAAATGTTGCCACACAAACTGGACTGGAACGGAGAGAGTATAAGGTTATAAGAATATTGAAACTTGTAATCTGAAACATGCAATAACATTTGTGTAGTTGTAGAACTTAATAATAAAATTAAATGTGCCATTATTTTTTGCCCCACTAATAACGAAATTGTGTCATATAAACTGGAACAGATAGAAAGTAAAATTTAAGGCATTGCAAAATAACCTTTCACGGAGAAACTGAGCGAAAGCTTTATGGGTAATGCCGTATTTGGTGAGGAACCCAACAGGGTCGATGCCTTTCTCCTCGTCGGACTGCTTTGCCGGGCGTTGTTTGCGCCGTTGTGGCGGCGGCTGCTCGGTGGTTGAGCACCTACATATGTTCCTCTGCGGGAAGGAAACTCGAGGCCGGCGGCAAACAAGTGTAACTTGGCGAAGGTTTCTGCTGCCGCTTTGAGAAAGAAAGTTAAGCCGAATGTCGCTCAAAGGTGAAGAAATTGGAATTGAATCCGTCAGAGAGAACATGGTTGAAGCTAATTAGTACTAATTCCTATGGCATATAGGGGGGAAGAAGATGAACTGGTTTTTTCGCCTTAGTGATAAGAGGCGAGTACTGTGTCAAACTATGTCAGACGGGTGAGCGGGTTCCTATATACTGAAGTTAATAGAACGTAAACGGCTACTCCGACGACGTAAACGGTAACGATTTTTTATTTGACAGCAAGTTAACTGTAAGTTTGTGGCTAAACTGGCAGTGTGTTAGTTCGACTTTTGTTACCTCAACAACGCAACATTCACTTTGCATAACATAATCTGTCCCGTAATTAGATAAGTTCAATTTATGTGCATTGATATTGGGAAATATACTAATTTGAACATTGAAGAATAAAGTTTTTTTCATACTATTAATAGTAAGTTGATTAGAAATTGTATGGGTCATAATTCAGGCCAAGATAACATTATAAGAAGTATCCTCGAGAGAGATTTAAGTGTAAGAACAACACTTTGAAAAAGATTCATTCTTCACTCAATACAAAACTTTACTTTTCATTAAGATTCTCGTCATATCCGAGAAATCCTCGATTATTTGAGGAGCCATCGTTCAATCATTGTCAGGTGGAAGGTTCTTTTATTTCACCTTTTGCTGATTAAATTATTTATCTTAATTACATGAGTGTCATTATATTGTTATTTATTGAATATCATACACACTACTACTGTTCTTGATAGTAAAAAAGACATTTATTATATAGTGTCATTATTGTCCTCATAAACGCTTTTCAGCTATCTTTTCTAATACCAAGATCTGAAAATATTATTCTTAACTAAGATTAACCTTTGTTTAACTGAAATTAATTATTTGAACCAAGATTTACATTTTTGTGTCAAACAGAAATGTCTTTAAATTGTATATTTGGAGGACACTCAACGATTATATAAAACACAATCTTCTGTTTATTCCTAATATCTCTTATGTGATTTTCTTTTTTCCATGCCTAACCAAATGAGTCATTTCTCATATTTGACCGGCACTCATCGAATATAATGGTATGTTAGTTTGGGCACGAACCTGCTTAAAGAAAGAAGACAAGTGAATATAAATAGACAATCACGTGGTACTGGCCGTTTGACCAAAAAGTATTAACTTCCGGTTAAACTATTAAATATTATGTAATGACGGGTTAAACTTGTCACGACCCAAACCTATGGGCTGCAATGGACACCCGGTACCTTACTCAACCAAGTACCAACATACATATCTTTTTTTATCGTACTCTCATTGGCAAATGGGCCAAATGGCTAACCAGAATAAACATAAGGGAATACTCAATATAGGGCGACCCAACCTGATATAGAAACTTACACATTTGACATACGAGCTTATAAGGCCAACGTGATCCTTTATATACTCAAAACATAGGCGGACAAGGCCATACAAGTATCTGTATACACGACATCTGTCTACAAGCCTCTAAGAGTACATAAATATCAAAAAGGTCGGGATAGGCCTCGCCGTACCAATCAATACATGTACTAATCATACTGACCAAATAAGCAACTCCGGAGCAATGGCGCACCAACACCTTCCGCTGAGCTGATAGCCTTTTTGGAGGACTCTCAACCTGTCTATCAGGACCTGTGGGCATGAAACGTAGCGTCCCCAGGCAAAAGGGACGTCAGTACAAATAATGTACCGAGTATGTAAGGAATGAAAATCAGTAAAATATAGACATGTAGAAACATAGAGTAAAAGACTCGACCTGTAAGTCTGGATAACTCTGTATATTATGAAATACTTATAGTATCATGCATAGGCGTATGAATGTCATGTCGTGCATAGGTACATCTGTTCATAACATCATCAAGCCTCTGAGGGCATGCCATCATATCATCTCGGCCACTATGGGCAAAATCATCAACGTATACCAACTGATTAGGTGGTGGTGCATATATAACGCCATAATATTTTCTCATATCCCATATACATATATATACATACATATATACGCATATATAACGCCATCTGGTCATGGGTCAATGTACATGTAAATAAATGTAATGCATGAGAAGTACGTTAATAAAATCTCTCGGAGTGTAATAAGACCATTATGCCTTGGATTAATATCCTGAAGTAAACTTTTTTCAACTTGCGTATTTTCTGAGACCCATGAACAGACGATAGAATAATAAGACATATGGGGAATCAAGAACATAGGCACCTCTAATACTTCTATGAATAGAGTCATTTATGGAAGTTGTGCATTTTCTCGTTTCATTTGTATCGTATGGATCATGCCAAAAAGAAAGAAGGGATAGCCTTAACATACCTGAGTTGATTCTCTTGACAATGCTTCTAACACACGTCTTTTGTGATAAAACACGCAACAGCAGATCGAAGTAGGGAAAAATCCGTATGATATTCTTGAGAAAGATTATACCGGCTCCCTTAGAATTGCAAATCTCGTTGCTATTACGCAGTATAACTTCGTATGAAATTTTGTTGAAGAAAAATCACGTTGCCAATCTATCTCACTTTATAAAAGATTCATGTGAAATCTTGTTTAAGAATTCCATCCGTACTTAGCAAGCCAATCTATACCATTTCATATTGTAGGAAAAACCTTTAAGGTCATGGGTTGTGGTCCCCATTTCTTTGGGATGACTTGGCCACCAAAATCCCTTAAATTTTGCCACCTAACTACATGAAATAAGAGTCACAATTTGTCTTTGATGAAGACTCATTTTGCTGCCACGTTGGTTAATGTTTATCCACCCCAATAATTATCCACCTATCTCTTGATTAACTCGTTAATCTCTCACTAACCAATAATTAATCAATTACCCACATAATTAAGAATTATCTCAAATTACTTACAATACTACTTACTTTTAACATATTTTATTATACACCTTACTATTATGGTCACATCGTACCTTGTATGGTACTAATCCATAAATACCGGGTATTATATCTCGGACTGTATTTTATCCCAAATTGTCAAACTTTGACGAAACTCATTTCCTTTGATTCGCTTATCCTCTCACCTTCACGAATTTACTTATCACTTGTTTGAAAAAGCGTAATACATATAATCCCAAAATAATCTCATTCTCGAACTTACGTCGATTAACTTACGACGAAACTTTAACGTACAAAAATACGGGATATAACATCTCATTTCCGAGCTTTCATCAATTAACTTATGGCGTACTTTCACGTATGAAAATATGGGGTGTAACAAAACATAGTTAGTGATAATATCTCTAGATATAGATCTTGAAAGCATGGATAGTATTGTATGGGTCAAAATTTGAGACAAGAATCGTCGTGGGAAGAGACGGCGAAAAGTTACTTGGGACTGTCGCATCCATACCATGCTGTAACGACACGCACGTCGGCCATGGCCGAGGTCATATATCCAGAACGCTTGGGAGGCGAATTGGATATTATGGCATTTTGAGGGGTCAACCCGTAATACAATCAAACGACTTAAGTACTATGGTTTATGACAGTTGGGTAGAAGAGAAGACCTAGTATATAAACTAAGTGAGAAGAAGAAGGATAGGGGGCAAAAAAATAGATACACACACAGACATGCTCTCTGAAAGGAGGAGAAATCCGCATCTCTCTTTCACTCTCTTCGAAGGAGGAGGAAGCGAGGAAGCTCATATCCTCAATTCATATCATTAGTCTCACCATAACAAATGTATGGGGTCCTACCTCATTAAAGATCGGTGACCCTCTCATCTATGTATTTTTCATGGTTGTTCAATGTTATGAAGATCATCATCTTCTTCTTATATAATGGGATTTTATCGATGTTATAGTTAAATCTTATGTTTGCTTTGTTCGCTGACCCATGTCTTCTATCTCAGATCTAGGGCAAATTATCTTTGGCTAAGATTTACCTAAAATCTTCATATTTAATTAGTTTAACAAAAAGCTTAACACTTTTTGGTCAAATAATTTTGCGCCGTATGTGGGGACTTCTTAGCCAAAAATTTAGTTCCCTCTAGATCTGAAGTCAACTAGGGTTTCACTCCCCGGTCGTCGCAGCCTCACCCTTTCATTTGCAAATACCAACTTGAGAACTTCGTAGGCAAGCTTTTGAAATAACCAAACCGATCAGGGTCAGATCTTTGCACGAAATCAAAATTCTGTCTGATATCTATACAAAATCTGCATCTTGCCTGTAGCGGTGGGTTTGGCACATCGTATGAGTACTCAAAGTGGGATTACGGCCACTACACACTTAGCGTGTCCGCAATCCTATTTGCTATATTAACGTTATATACCAATTTATACTTCCACCTCTTAGGAAGAGACGATGGCCTACTGTGTGATTCTTTGAAATAACCGGCTTGTCCTGCCTTATCTTTGTACCCATATGCACAACGTAATTTATGTACGGAGTATAACATGTTTCCCTTACTAGGCTCTTGGTCTTGAAGTCTTGGCTCTCTGAACTCAGGCTCCGCAGATCGCGCAGAATGGACCGCGGCCGCGGAGGTCTCCAATGCGGTCCGCACAATAATGACCGCGGACCGCGATGACTTGAACCTGGGCATATTTCATCTCTCTGAACTTCTCTTTCGCGGACCGCACATAATGGTAGTGCGGTCGGGGAGCCTTCACCACGGACCGCATATAATGGAGTGCGGTCGCGTTGCTTGAAGCCTTAATTTCTGACTCTCTGAATCTCTCTAGTGCGGACCGCACAAAGAGTAGTACGGCCGCACTAGGCATGTTCTCCTGAGTTTTGCCTTGTCTTAGGTACTTGAGCAGGTTTCACTCCTTTTGAGCCGATGTTTGACATTTCGTCACTTTGTCGATCAAACCTGCAATCAAGCATAACTTATGAGCCTTTTGGGACTATTTTGTAAGAATTTTTAATCAAAGCATAAGCAAGAAGGAGCATGAAACGCGTCAAAATCCATAGTTATCAACTCCCCCAAACTTAAGCTTTTGCTTGTCCTCAAGCAAACAAAACAAGACCCACCCCTTAAGGGAAAATCCAAGAATTTTCAGCTATCCTAATGTAACCTCAACATGCATCAATTGGGACTAACAATTTCCCTCAATACGAATGCATCATTAACAACATTTAACCTTTGAA